TAATATACTACAGTACAACTATCGGGCTGTAAGTAATAATGAATATTTTACCTTTTATTGTGCGAAAAAACCGTCTGTTTTGGTGTTTTTGCTCTTAATATAGTAGCTCAATGTGCCTGAAAAGAAATTACAATTACCGTTATTCTAGACATTTGCGTCACGTAAAACGCCACCTAGTACACAGTGAGTTTTAAGTTTAAAAAATGAAAAGAAAAAAAAAACGTGAGAAATCGAATTCGAGTAGAAAAACTCACTATGAAACAACATATGTATTGTTCTAAATCCAAAAATTTCAAACTTATAATTTGTTACTTACCGATATTAAACTAGAAAGGAAATAAGTCTATACGTATATAATTATAAGTTGTAAGTAAGTTTTCATTAACAATTTGGATTTTATTCATTTTACCTAAAACAGAATAACACAGAAAATAAAGTCTCTTAAAGTTATTCTCTAAGTCAAAATCGATATCCTGTGGTCAAAATTTCTCTTAAGGAAATCTGAAAACCGTTGCCGATCGTTTATTTCTGAAAATTTTTAATAATAATAATATATAGAATATTTTAACCCATGCCAGAGTTGAGACAATCATCATAAATCTAACAGACATGCTATACACAGCCTTAATGAACAGGCTTTACCTTTTCCAGAAGCCAGCTCAGACGCTCCTAACAAGAGAAGAAGAGACAAAACGTAGCAGTATAGAGACATTTTAAGAAGATAGCACGAGCTGTCGAGGACACAGTTCAGGAGTCAAGACTTGAGTGGCCACGCCAACGTGTCTCGTCTCAGTCCACCACTCTAAGTTACATTTATATCAGTCACGAGGAGTAACAACTTGCTACTTTGGGAGCATCGATTCTCTTCGATCTTAAGGATGATTATACTTGTCGGAGCAGAACTGACTGCCGGCCGGTCTACAGCGGGACGGGAAGACTCAGGCGCGGCAAGGAACAGTGGAACAAGTGAAGAGAGGGTGAGGGTGATAAAGATTGTAAACAAACTGTACAATACACACGCTAGAAACATAGAATAGACCACGCAGCTATTAGTCTGAAGTACAGGAAATGGCCTCAACGGTAACGTCGTGTTTTTCCCTCATCTGTACGAAAATTTTAGCCTGTTATTTTTCGATAATCTAGTATTGCTGTTAGCTACAGGTGGTCTTTCTCACACCTCCTCTTTATGCAAACATGTCATCAAAGACGCCGACTTATACGGAGAAAAAAACATTATAAATTACACGTGAGGTTAGGAGAAAGTATAGCCTACAGCAACAAGTTCACACATCCTCCACAACTTTTGTATTTGTTAACCATTTTTTTAGCCGCGGCATAGCGGCTCATAAAACGGATTTGAGTTTTTCAAGCACAAACTTTTAGCTCATAGCTTCGTCATCTCTTGACCGATTTGAGATCTAATTACAGTTTTGGACTCGGGAGGTAAAACCATTTCGAATGATGTATTTGACCACACCCAAGGTCTCACAGATTAATATATTCTAATTCTTCTTAAAACAATTTCAATTTGAGGGTAGGTTGGTAAAGATCTTGATGAGTAATAAAATCGAATCTGGTATACGCGCACTCTACGCTTGGTATTGCTGGCGCAGAAAAAATAGCTAATAAAAAGGAAAATAAATGTCTCATAGGTTAATTTACTCTAATCCTACCTAAAAGAATTTCAACTGCCACGGCTATTGAGGATTCCCTCATGTTTTCTTCTTCTTTTTCTTTTGCTACGGCTAATAATTTAAACTTTTATTATCATTATGATAAATCATAAATAGCATTTCAATAATAACCCCAGTCACACACACAGTTGTCACTGATAATACGGTTGTTGCTTCAATAATAACCCCAGTCACGCACAGTTGTCACTGATAATACGGTTGTTGCTTCAATAATAACCCCAGTCACACACAGTTGTCACTGATAATACGTTTGTTGCTTCAATAATAACCCCAGTCACACACAGTTGTTACTGATAATACGGTTGTTGCTTCAATAATAACCCCAGTCACACCCAGTTGTCACTGATAATACGGTTGTTGCTTCAAAAATAACTCCAGTCACACACACCTTGAAAAAAGGTTACGTTGTAAAGCTGTCCTGTCCAAAGCACACCACGCTTCCCTTTTAGCTTTCCTTAATCCATTTAATGAACGAGGATGATAGTTTCCTATCGCTTGTTTCAACAGTCCGATCGTCCAAAATCCCATAGTGATTTGACTGGTATTTCTTCAGGTATTCCTATGGAATAACATGAATATCTATTTTATTCTTCAGCCGCTTGAGATATGCGATGGTTGAACGGAAGTTATGACTGGAGCCTTGTCTTGGAGATCCCATACCGTAATGGCTTCGTATTTAGACGAAGCCCTTCTTAATTATGCTGCTTACTGTTGTCTGACACGCACCTAGATGGCTTTTCCACTGACCTTTGTGTTCGTAGGTTCTCACCTGTTACAACATGCCACACTTTTCTTACCACGACTGAGGTACGACTTCTTATTGCAGGTCTCTCGTTTTTTTTTTATGGTCCTTGCGCTCCAAGTTAATCCATATTCCTTTCCTTTCTAATACCATTAGATATAAGGAATATTTTCAAAAACCGATCAGTTTTCGGTGGCATCACACAACCTATGAAACGTCAAACAATGCCAAAATGTAGTTCTAATACATAGCGATTCATCGCGACTTTATATTAGCTGTGGTTATCACGTGACTTGCTGACTTGCATGTTCAAGGTTGTTTTAATACAACGTAGTAAACCTACAAAAAAGTATGTTGGTCTATGTTGATTAGTAGGTTTTTCATATCCATTTTTCACGGGTATTGATATTATAGACAAGGTGGAATACCGGCATTTCTTAGTTCTTTTAAACATTTCCATATGATTTAAGGTAGAATAGTTTTCCTTTTAAAGTGACGGTTTCGGAGTATAATTTCGGTTAATGCTTTCTTATATTTCAACATCTTATGTTCTCGTAGCTGAGCAGTGTTGTCACCAATATTGAGACACCACCATTATTGTATCAGAAATGCTCTTGATAAACACCAATAAAGGTATTCATTAAGCTGAGACACCACCATTATTTATCAAAAATGCTCTTGATAAACGCCAATAAAGGTATTCATTAAGCTGAGACACCATCATTATTGTATCAGAAATGCTCTTGATAAACACCAATAAAGGTATTCATTAAGCTGAAACACCATCATTATTTATCAAAAATGTTCTTGATAAACATCAATAAAGGTATTCACTAAGCTGAGACACCACCATTATTGTATCAGAAATGCTCTTGATAAACATCAATAAAGGTATTCATTAAGCTGAGACACCACCATTATTGTCTCAGAAATGCTCTTGATAAGCATCAATAAAGGTATTCATTAAAGCAGTGGTTCTCAAACATACCTGTTAACTTTATATTAGAAAAATGTAATGTATTAAGTATGAATATGTGTACATACCAGTTAACTTTATATTAGAAAAATGTAATATATTAAGTGTGAATATATGTAACTATAAACCATATAACTTTATATTAGAAGAACGTAGTACATTATGTTTAAATATCTGTGCATATAACATAAATTTATATTAAAAGAATGTACTTTATTAAGTATGAATATGTGTACATATCAGATAATGTAGTATATTAAGTATGAATATGGGTACATATCAGATAATGTAGTATATTAAGTATGAATATGGGTACATATCAGATAATGTAGTATATTAAGTATGAATATGTGTACATATCAGATAATGTAGTATATTAAGTATGAATATGTGTACATATCAGATAATGTAGTATATTAAGTATGAATACGTGTACATATCAGATAACCTTATATTAGAAGAACATAGTATATTATGTTTAAATATCTGTGCATATAACATAAATTTATATTAGAAGAATGTAGTATATTAAGTATGAATATGTGTACA